CCCCCCTTAAAAAAAATGTTCTATAAAAATTTCTTCAATTTCATTATTTTGACAAGCACCTGATTTCCCCCAGATGCCACACATATTTTATTCATGTTCTTTCACGTGTGCAGAGAAAGAGAACATGAGTCTGTGTTTGTAAAAAAAAATAAAAAGAGGCGTAGGGGAGTGAATTAGTACTCACGAGTCTAGTGTACTTTTAATTACATTTGGCGTTAATAAGGGACCAGGTTCTAATTTTACTTGCATCCTCTCCCATGAAATCTGTGTGTATATAAATAACTATGTTAGCATTTATATCTCTCTTTTATTTGTTAATATGTTCATTACCCAATATGCCATACTGTGAGACTGAAGAAATAGCATGTGAGAATGAGAGAGAGAAAGAGAGAGAAAGAGAGAGAGAGAGAGAGAGAGAGAGAGAGAGAGAGAGAGAGAACGAAAAAGTTTTTCTATCTGTAGAGAATGAATGTTTTAATGAATGCTTCTACTTACTCACATTTCAACTTTATAGTGACCGTTTGTGAATTTTTATTACATTGTATATTTCTAGTGAACACATTTCCAACCTCACTGCGAGACTGTTTTTCTCATATAAATTTTTACACGTATACATTTATATTATATGTATAATACTTTGTTTTACGTACACGGATGTCGATTGATTCTTAAGATGTGATGTCTTTTTCGTTGTAATGGGCATTGAGCATTTTTCAGAAAATGGAAATGCGCTGAATAAATGCTGTTTATTATTATTATTATTATTATTATTATTATTATTATTATTATTATTATCATTTGCTCTGTTTCTGCAGCTCGAGTGACGTGCCCCAGAGGCTGGAGCCTGTACACCAGAGCCCCCACCTGTATCAAGTTGTATACACAGGGGAAAACCTGGGTGGATGCCAGGTCTATATGCCAACAGGCGGGAGGTGACCTTGTTAAGATCCCAGATAGCAGTTTCAGCGGTTTTGTCAATGGTGAGCCTCTATTTGTTACACATAATGTGTTGGGTTTTTTTTTAAATCTTTGTTATGTTTTTTGTTTTTGCTTTTGTTTTTGTTGGTATTTTCTGTTAGTTTGTTTTTCTGAAGTTTTAATCCCACTGCAGCATCTTTGATAACTGTAAGTCCTCTTTTATGTTTACTTTCATTAAGAATTTATTACATTTCTTGTCTGCTGAATTGCTCATTAGTAGACTTTTTTCTTTTTAGTTTCTTAAGCAGTTTTTGGATAATTGAAAAGCTTGTCTTTCACAACCTTTGACCTTCTGACTCTCCCAGTTGTTTAGGTGTGTTGTAAATTGATTTCACTTTTTTTTTGTCTGTCTTTGATGCTGTTGTTGTCAAATGAAATCTATGTGTGTGCATATATCTATCTATATATATATATATATATATATATATATATATATATGCATTTCTATATCTTTTTCTGTGTTTATCCGTTCAACTACACTATAATATATTCATTTGTTCCAATAACATTGGTGCTCTGATGGAACCTCGCTAACTGAAATTTTAGTGAAAAATCGGGGGGTTTTGCACCCAAAGATTCCTAATACCTTGATACAAAATGTGTATAAATAGTAACTCCAGATTCAAAGTACATGCTTGAAAACATATTTTAAATTCTGTATGAACCTCGTTATCCGCCACAAATAAATTTTTGATTCTTTAAGCCTCACTTAACAAAATATAAGAAAGTTATAAGGGCATACCATACCAGTTGGGTGTGTTCTGAACTTGGACTGTTTTGGGGAGTTTCACGGCTCTCCACACATTTGGTTTGGTCTAGTCTGGAATAGAGAAAAATTCAGGTCACCTTATAGTGTTGAAAGCGACATTTTACCATACTACCGTATTTCGCAGTTTTTTCTCCACTATCTTCTAGGTTTGGTGAATAGGCAAAAGTCCTCATATTGGATTGGATTGCACGATCGACATAAGGAAAATAAGTTTGAATGGCTAGATGAAGATGTCAAGGTAAGCCAAAAAGTGTCTATACATGTACTTGATTGTTATGTTGGATGTACATCACGGTTAGATTTATTAACATGTGTTTCAAGGCTGCAAACAGAATACTCTTGTCAGTTTGTTAGTGTTTGAGCGCTTAATCAGCTGCTTGCACTGTATGCTTCCCGGGAAGCTGAGAATGTTTCGGAGTGTTCTATGGTCTGCTGGGGTAAAAATATAGTGTAAAGCACATAGAGCCTGCTGTTGAGCAGGGATTTGCGCTATACAAATGCTATTTATTATTTATTATTATTACTCTAAGGTATCGAATAAAAGGGGATAGGAATAAAAGGGGGGGGGGGGTAGACAAGTGGTCCAAAATTAATAAACAGGGGGGTTGGAATTTTTTTAAAGGGGGGGGGGGGTGGCACATTCAACCTCATACCCCGGTACTAATAGGAACAAATCTGTTTTATTTCTCCTTCAGTGAATAAGTTCTGTCGTCTGTTTTCTTCTCCTCTTTCTGTCCCCCACCCCCTCATACCTTAGAGTACGTGGGTGGTTGGCGGGTGCTCTGATGTGGTTTGCAATTTCTTTCCTATCAAACAACTGTTGTCTTTATCTCTCCTCCTCCTTTTTTTTATGTTACTCTCTTGCAACACCTCTAATCTTCGGCACTTATATGACCTAATTGTGCTGCAAGTGCCATAAAAAGCTTACTAAAACAACTAACAAACAAACTGTATACAGTATTTATGCTTCCTGATATTTTCTAGATTCCCTTACAATGGCAACAACACTAGCTGAATTTTTACCTGAAGTCGTTGGTATAGATCAATTTGATCTTTCCATTCAAATTAACCCTTTGAACCCTAGCCTCCAGTAAACCGGTGGTGTATAAAATAGCCCATATGCCTGGCCATCGGTAAACTGGTGAGTGAGACCCTATCCCCAACCCAGCCCGTCTGGGAGGAAAATGAGTACGGAAAACAGTGTTTACTACACAGGATGTTATTGATTATTTTGAAGATCTTTCTGAATTAGATCTCTCTCTCTCTCTCTGTCTCTCTCTCTCGGTCTCTCTCTCTCTCTGTCTCTCTCTCTCTCTCTCTCTCAGTCTGTCTGTCTGTCTGTCTGTCTCTCTCTCTTTCTCTCTCTCTCTCTCTCTCTCTCTCTCTCTCTCTCTCTCTCTCTCTCTCTCTCTATCTCACTGTTTGTCTGTCTGTCTGTCTGTCTGTCTGTGCCTCTCTCTATCTGTCTACTGGTAGGCCTAATGGATAAGAATAGGTATGCTAAGAAATGTTATTTGCAAGCCGATGTACATGACCAAAATAATAGATACAGCTGGGCCACTGACATAAGAAAACTTTTATGTGCAATGGGGTTTGGATATGCATGTTTTTTTTCAAAATGTTGGTGATAAGAATATTTTCCTTTCCCAAATGAAGGAAAAACTGATAAATATTAGTCACCAGGACTGGCATTCGAAGGTGTCTAACACTTATCCTAAGTACCTGGACTTCCATCGTATGTTAAGCCCTGCTCCATACCTCTCTTTCCCCTTCTCTACAAGAAGTAGAAGGGTCTTTGCATTACTCAGAGCTTTCTGTTTATCGCTGAAAAATAATCTGTTACGATTGGGTATTGTCGACAGTAATCGTTGCCTCCAGTGTTATGAAAAGTATATAGAAAATGAATTCCATGTATTGTTCAGATGTTCACAAATATACTGAAATATGAGAACAACTTTTACCAGAGTGCGTCAGACTTCAGACACCGGAAGAGCCAATGTCTAAGCTCAATGGCATAAAATTAGTCTGTTCAGATGAAGTCTATTCTAAAAACATAATCTCATTCCTAAATTATGATGTACGGACACGTTAGATTCCCCCATGTAACTCTATATTTGTTCTGGTGTTATATGTGAGGGAGCGTGATGGAATCAGGCTCTCGTCAATTTTTGGGCATGTAGAGTTATTGGTAACATCTTAAAGCTTGTTCACTTGTATTTATTTGGATAAAAAAATATCCATTTGTCTTGAATACATGTCGAGATATTTGTGAAAGGAGGAGGTGGGGATCACCTGTTTTCAGAGGGGTAAAATTAGTGAGAAAATGTCCGTCAAAGATTAGTTATTTCGTTAGCTTAAGAGTCCGTGGTAACTGAAAATTTACATTTCTTGTGCCTTTAATCAAAAATCCACTCAGAAATGAGTTCTTTAATGGGCTAGAAAGGTGTTGAGCCAAAAAATTAAAATTCAATAAAAATTCACAAACCTGCGGAAAAATGCAAGTTTCATCTCTTTGATTATTTTGACGAGAGCTTGATTCCACCATGCTGCCTCACATATACATGTATGTATGAAAATGATAATGACAATCGTTATTTGCTTCTCAGAGTGAAATTTATTCCAATTTCTCTCTCTGCCTCATGTGCGTGAGGCATTTCTATTTCTGTCTGTTCTTATTTTCCTGGAATACACCGTTTATTATAATTTAAACTCCAATGTCAGTGGGTGGATGCGTGTGTTGTTTCATTCTTACTTCTATAATAAGTGCTATTTATCATATGCAAACTGATGACAAAACACACGTGTATATTATGTATGTACATATATGCATGTATATATATGCATGGCATATATGGTATGTGTGTAGGTGTAGTATGTAGGCATGCGTGTATGTATGTATATGTATGTATGTATGTATGTATGTATGTATGTATGTATGTGTGTATGTATGTATGTGTGTGTGTGTGTGTGTGTGTGTGTGTGTGTGTGTGTGTGTGTGTGTGTATGTGTGTGTGTGTATGTGTGTGTGTGTGTGTGCGTGTGTGTATTTGAGTGAGTATGAGTGTGCATGTGTGTGTGCGTGAGTGGTTGCGTGGTTGCGTACGTGCGTGCATGCGGGTGTGTGTGCATGCATGCCCAATTTCTGTTAAATATAGGATGTGCTACACCAATGTATGTATATAATTGCCAAGCCATATATTAAAATGTATGGATATATGGGCCAAAGGCCTTTCAATAGATCATTTTGAAATCTCATTTTAAATCTCTGTCTGTCTCTCTATGTCTGTCTCTCTCTCTCTCTCTCTCTCTCTCTCTCTCTCTCTCTCTCTCTCTCTCTCTCTCTCTCAGACACTGTCTCTGTCTGTCTGTCAGTCTGTCTGTCTCCCTCCCTCTGTCTCCCTCTGTCTCCCTCTCTCCCTGTCTTCCTCTCTCCCTCTTCCTCTCCCTCTCCCTCCCTCTCTCTCTCTCTCCCTCTCTCCCTCTCCCTCTCTCCCTCTCTCCCTCTCCCTCTCCTTCCCTCTCTCTCTCTCTCTTTCTCCTTTCTCTCTCTCTCTCTCTCTCTCTTTCTCTCTCTCTCTCTCTCTCTCTCTCTCTCTCTCTCTCTCTCTCTCTCTCTCCTTTCATACCTTGTTCAATCTCAATAAGATGTAGTGTTGAGACAGCAGGTTTTTTTTAAAGTAAAAAGTTTCAAGTTTTAGGGGGTTTGGGTTGTTAATTAAAGGGGGGAGTACTGTTTGATTTTGTAAGAGAAACTCGAGCATGCAGAAGATGTTCTTTAGGTAATTTAAAAAAAATTAAAGCAAGCTGTCGGGTGTTCAGAATGAACGAAAAAAGCATATTCGGTTGAACATGATCAAACACTAGTTTGGGTTTTCTTTTCTGATGCACTTTCAGTTGAACTTGATTTTCACACTTCTGTGAGAGTAATGTTGTTACCTCAGAATTACAAAAGTGAGAAATTTGATGTAGATCTAGAAGATTTTGAGTTTCACATTATGTCAAGACTTTTTTAAAGCAATTCTTTGAATGCTTTGATAATTACTCCGAATAAACTTACGATTTTTGTAGGGCAGATAGAATATTAATTTTTGTTTCTGACCTCATGTTTGTATTAACTTAAAAAGGTCAAAAATGTCAGATAGAACTTAGTTATTCTGTGAATGTAACGAAGAAGGCAGAATTGGCTTGTCAAATTCAAGCAGATAGTCTCACGCACATGTGACAAGAGCAATTAAAAGCTCCAGAAAAAGATATTATATAAACTCTTCTTGAAAAGTAGCTGCTGAATTAACACCTTTATATCCCCCCACTCCCACCCCCACCCAAAAAAAAAAACCCAACAAAAAAATGTTTATTTATTTTTTTAAATTTTAATTATACATTCTGAAGGTACTGTCTGAGGTATATTGTGATCCAGCTGTTAAGGTGTACTGAGCCCAATATTTTGACCAAAAATTATTGCAGTTTCCTAATTTAACTGTGGTTTTGGTTGTACATGCTCGATAAATATTTTGTCAAAATCTAAATTCTAAATGTTGAAAAAAGCAGGGAACGGTACATGATTTAAATACTTTTTTTAAAAGAATAAATCAATTTTTTATTGTCACCTGAAAAATTTTGTTGTTTGTGCTTAGAACAATTGAACAGCTTGTCAACAATTTGTATTTTGTGTGAACTGTGATATCTGCAGGCAAGTTTCACTTCCTGGGCGCCCCATCAGCCCGACAACAGTCGAGGCAATGAAAACTGTGTCAGTGTGAATGCAAACATGGGAATGAGATGGAACGACGCCAACTGCATGTCCAATTTACGCTTCATATGCCAACAACCCACTGGTAAGTATACAGGGTGAGTCCAAATGATGTTAACACTTCGCTACTTTACAATTACAAAGTTCTTTCTGAGTAGGGCCTACCTCGTTTCAAGAAAGTTGACATCAAACATTTTGAGTTTCATAATATGTCAAGCTTTTTCAAATGCTTTTCTTTGAATATCTCGATAACGACTCTGAATAATCTTACAAATTTGATAGAGCAGATAGAATTTCTGGTTTCTGAACTCATCGTCTCAGTAACTCAAAATGGCCAAAAACTTTGTAATTCTGAGGTAGCGACTAGCATGGGAGAAATTATTTATTCAGAATTTACTGAACAGTTCAACCAAAGTCACCAGCATGATCTACACTAAAAAACCAGTGACCTGCAGTAGAATTTGGTGCCTTGACACTCTTTTCGTGGCAAATACTTAATATGATATCTTGTTTTCTGTCCTTGAGTTTGTTCCAAACTTGTATTAACATAATTTTGACTCATCCTGTGTATCCTGGATCTTTTAGAAGATGGCACAATAAAGTGGGCGATTGTGTCTGTATGTTTTGCTGGAGCAAAAAACTGCAGTCAAAATTATCAAAGGCAGCCACCCATTGTGCTACAAGTGAAAGAGAGAGAGAGAGAGAGAGAGAGAGAGAGAGAGAGAGAGAGAGAGAGAGAAAGAGAGATTTACGGAGCGGGTTGTCATGTATTTACTAATATCCTGTCTTGTTATGTGTATGCGTGAGTGTACCTAACCTTAAACTTTGTAACATCCACTGTCATTGTAAATGACCTAGACAAGTTTCTCCCTATGAGATGAATGAAGATTGTCATTGTCATTGTCGAGAGGAAAGGATCATGTTTGACACAGGGGGAAGTCTTTTCAATGTCATCATAATGTAGTAAAAAAAACTGTACGCAGGGATGTGGGAGGCGGTTGTTTGTACAGGTGATTGTTTTGGACAGTAGGTTGAACTGAAATTTTTTTTTTTCCCAATTATTTTTCCCTTGAATGGTTTGAGCATCCATTGATTGATTTTGGTGTTCACTTAGAGTTTTTGAACAAAATCTCTTCGAATTTGGTGTTTCCATATAATTGCCAAGAACCATTAAGAAAGGTATTGGTTTTCATTAATCCAATGAACCCATGACACCAATATATATCGGTGTGCTAGTTATTTGCTCCTGCCTTGAAGTACACATATATCGATGTGTGCTACTTTGTCATGTAACAGTCATCTGTATATGTGGATAAATGAACAAAAATGTCTATAGGAATTGTAGGTTTGTCATAATAATCATTAAGTTCAGGGCAGCTCAGGGAAGAGGGAATTGGTTTAAATAAACTTTTGTGTCTTCTGTGTGTAGGAATGAAGGCAAATTTTTACTCAGGAAGCTAGGGAACAGGTTTTTGGGGGTCAGAAGGTCAGGATTCTTTGGATAAAAGAAACTGGAAATGAAGCTTCCCTTATTCAATGTTTACATTATCACTGTGAAGTCTGAGAGTAGGCCTACTAGTTGAGACCAACCCCATCTCATTGCACCTCTATAATTGGGATATGCCTCTTCTTCTTACTTATACATGGTACCAGCGTCTGCAGTAAAACAGTTAGGTACTATGCTGCTGTGAGCATAAGATGTGAGTTTGATTCCTGAACGAGACATTTTTATCGAGCATCTCCTTCTGTCAGCTTGGATGTTTTATCCCTCTCAGCCCCTGTAGGCCCTGACAGGCAAGGTCGAAGCAGTGGGCCTCGTGACTGATCTAGTCTGTCCATTGTGGAAGGTAAGAGGGTAAAACTTACATTTTTAATTTCAATTTAAGAAAAGGTTTGTTTGACAAATATTCTTTTTTTCTTTTCCAGTTCAGAACACCAGTCCAGCAACAAGTCCAGCCAGTAAGTATCTGCTGTAGTACTCTTGTTTTTGTTGGTGTCCTTTTTACTGGATTGCTTGGGGAAGGAGGAGGAGGGAGGGGGAGGGAGCTCATTAGAAGTTTCAGAAAAAGTAAATGTAATTCTTTAATCCTTGATTTTTTTCCACTTTTGCCCCAGCGTTTTTTCTAAGAGTCATCATAACCTGTGCACATTAGCCCCAAAAGCTTGCCTCCAACTTGTAAATGGCAGAAACAAAAGCTTATAGACATTACTAATTTCAAAAATTGGTTCTAGAATAGTTCTGAAAAAACAAAGCAAAAACTTGGCTTAAATGAAACAAAGCAGTTGTCACCAGTACTGGATGCTCCCAGCATTTGATGAGGAACAGGGTTATTACAGCCAGACACTCCCAGCATTTGATGAGGAACAGGGTTATTACAGCCGGACGCTCCCAGCTTTTGATGAGGAACAGGGTTATTACAGCCGGACGCTCCCAGCATTTGATGAGGAACAGGGTTATTACAGCCGGACGCTCCCAGCATTTGATGAGGAACAGGGTTATTACAGCCGGACGCTCCCAGCATTTGATGAGGAACAGGGTTGTTACAGCCGGACGCTCCCAGCTTTTGATGAGGAACAGGGTTATTACAGCCGGACGCTCCCAGCATTTGATGAGGAACAGGGTTATTACAGCCGGACGCTCCCAGCATTTGATGAGGAACAGGGTTGTTACAGCCGGACGCTCCCAGCTTTTGATGAGGAACAGGGTTATTACAGCCGGACGCTCCCAGCATTTGATGAGGAACAGGGTTATTACAGCCGGACGCTCCCAGCATTTGATGAGGAACAGGGTTATTACAGCCGGACGCTCCCAGCATTTGATGAGGAACAGGGTTATTACAGCCGGACGCTCCCAGCATTTGATGAGGAACAGGGTTATTACAGCCGGACGCTCCCAGCATTTGATGAGGAACAGGGTTATTACAGCCGGACGCTCCCAGCATTTGATGAGGAACAGGGTTATTACAGCCGGACGCTCCCAGCATTTGATGAGGAACAGGGTTATTACAGCCGGACGCTCCCAGCATTTGATGAGGAACAGGGTTATTACAGCCGGACGCTCCCAGCATTTGATGAGGAACAGGGTTATTACAGCCGGACGCTCCCAGCATTTGATGAGGAACAGGGTTATTACAGCCGGACGCTCCCAGCATTTGATGAGGAACAGGGTTATTACAGCCGGACACTCCCAGCATTTGATGAGGAACAGGGTTATTACAGCCGGACGCTCCCAGCATTTGATGAGGAACAGGGTTATTACAGCCGGACGCTCCCAGCTTTTGATGAGGAACAGGGTTATTACAGCCGGACGCTCCCAGCTTTTGATGAGGAACAGGGTTATTACAGCCGGACGCTCCCAGCATCTGACGGGATTTAAAGAGTTAAGCCCATCCTCTGGAATGTTCACACCCGATACACAGGCAACAACAACCTCTACAAGAATACTCCCGCCCATAATTCTGTGGCATCGATGGTGCTGATTCAAATCCTTAATGAGGTCTTATGAATCTTGAGTAGATCAGGGAATTTTCAAGACTCTCCACCCACTTGTCAGGTGGTGTGAGGGCACCACTGGTAGATCCTACTTCTTTACTTTCCCTCTGTTGTTTCTGTCTGTATGTCTGTCTTACTTTTTCTCTGCACTACAAGTTGCCATTATTGTTTTGATGTACTTCTCTTTACTCAAACAAACAAACAAACAAGCACACCACCCACTTGGCTGAGTTTTTATTGAAGATGGACATTACATTTGGAGACACAGCCTCTTAAATAACCTTACAGATGCAGTGCTTAAAGGAATGTTATTGTAACCCCATCGTTAATCCAGTCATGTTATCACTGTTGTTAAATAACAATTCGCCGGCCTTGTGATAAAACCAACTAACCCCAGCGAGGTAAATTTTACAGGAAAAGGAAAAAACTGTTTATTTCAAAACAAAGGCGTCTAACGATAAACCAATGCTTTAAACAGTTATAAAAACACTTTACCGAAAAACTGTAGACCTTTTTTTCCTTGAAAAATCGCTTTTAATGAAACTGCGTGGGTTAAACGGTTATGTCGGTCAAATTTTTCTGGATAATACGGACCAACCCTCAATTTTCTGGGTTTTATCAGGAAGCCACACTGCTGGCCTTGAGTTTGGTTGAGTGCTGCCAAGCCACACTTGACGGTAGCGTATTTGATCAGTTGTTTCGATCGTCGTGATCTTTTGTAGAAGAAGAAGAAGACAAAGAAGAGGAAGAGGAGGAGGAGGAGGAAGAGAGTGAGGAGGAGGAGGATAAGGAGAAAAAAGGAGGAGGAGGAGGAGTAAGAAGAAGAAGAAGGAAGAGGAGGAGGATGATATTATTGCTACCAACATACTATCAGCTGCTGCGATTTCAGTGCTATGGAGTCAATTCAGGCAAAAACAGCAGTCACAAAGTTGAACCTTTAATAGAAGTAGAAGAAGCAGATCACAGCAATGGGTATATTAATTACATTTGAAGTATAAGAACAGGAGGTTCGAAGGGTAAGGGAGAGCAGCTACAGCAAAAACAGTAGTAGCAGCAGCATCAGCAGGCCTTTAGAATTCATGACAGTGTCTGACACGATACTATTGGTACTGGGTAGCCTTTCAAATGCCTGGAAAAAGTAATACTAAGAAAGAAATGAAAGCAGAAAGGCACACAAAAGCTCTGCTACTTCGGCAATGGTTTGGGTGAAGTTGGTTACATAATTATGTATTATTATTATACAAAAAGACTTTGTAAGTATCAAAGAATGCTCCAACTTTCTTCAAAGAGTGTGGCTTGACAACTACTACTTTATTGAGTTTTCTCGACAATAGAAGAGCATGTCTGTCTTACTCTGTGTCCTATGGCTATAACAAGGCAATACGACAAAAGTTACCATTGTTTTGAAAGACTCTACAATAATCGAATTTGATTTGATTGCTTTCAAAACTTCTTACTGAGGCAAATTTTGATGGTAATTGTGGTAGCATCGTGGTACAACGGCCTTCAACTCCTGTATATGTTTTTACTGATAGGCGGTTATCTTCACTGTCTTTGTAGAGAGGTCCAGCAGTAACTGTTTTACATTGGGTGTTCAGCTTTCTTGGTCCTTGCAGCGCCTGCCATCCATAATCAAAGTTCAGCTTGTACTGAATGTAAAGTATGGAGTGTACTTTGATGCCTGTAAGTCACTGACAGTAGGATGGCCTGCTTTTGTCCCTGGACAGATTGTCTAGTGCTCTCCGACCTTTGCGAAATCTTTAAAAAATCTGTGGCCCAGGAACATAACTTCATAGGGCCTGGGAATGCGTCTGGCTTGGAGCATGATGTTCACGTAGTCCACTGGGATGTACATCAGTGCGTTTTGGAGCGATCGCTTAATAGTGCCATGGACTGAATCCACCTCCATTTGGGTAGGGCCCTTGATGAGAATTTCTGCTCAACTGTGATGTCAAGCTCTTTGGCCAGCGAGGCCATTGCACTCTCCAGGGTGGAATTTCTGTTTTAGTAGTTGCACCAATCACTGCAAATGATGAGGTGGTTGAAGTCAGTCACTTGCAATATCAGTTCGTGAGTCAGACATGATGAAAACTGTTGAAGCTCAGACCAACTTTACTTTCATACCAGACATATCATCTGGTGTCTCTGGTGGCAAAATTCTAAATCTTAAAATTGTGTACAGCCAGTTTTGTTTTATAATATAAGGAGGATGTCTTTAGTGGTGAGGCTGGAAGGACGTACTGGATCTCCATACAAAGAACACACACTTTGTTCTCTGGGTTCAGTGCAGCCTCCATGTCCTCTTCCTTCTCTGGTCTATCTGCAACTTTCCTTATATTCATATTTGATGAGCTGTGTATTTTGTTTCTGTGAGGTTTCTAGATTCGAAGCTGGTGCAAATGTCGTACTGGTCTTTCTTGGTTGAAAGTAAACCCAAATTGTTTTTCTTGAACTTTTGGCAGAACACTTGATAGCTCAATGTGGCTTTCACCATTTCTGCAAAGTTCTCCATGTATACTTGATGCAGATCTGACATTTTCTGGATTGCCATCTGTAGACAGGAGGATATCTTCGAAAGTTTGTCAAAAAATTCCTCTTTATGGAACAACTTGTCATTCTTGGCTCTCTCATGGTGGGCGTGATGTCTTCTGGGGGGGGGGGGGGAACCTCTTGTGGGGGTTTTTCGGAAAAGAAACTTTAAATAAACCAGTGGGTCAGGCCTGTGGTGTTCATGAAGATTGTTTTACAAACTTTGACCATTGACACTTTTAAGTGGTATTGAATGTTATAATGTCTCCTTGGATTTTCACTTGCTGTGTAAGATCTCTTTTTGTCTATCCTGTTTATCATGGCATATTATACGTAGGCTCTCTTTTCTTTCCAAGAGAGTGACCAGTGATGTCATTGCATTTTGTACCAACCAGTTTACACCTGCAAAGTTCACACCCTGCTCGCTTTGTGCCTTGACATGACGTGTAGAGGCATCTCCAGTTCTTTCAACCTCTTCATTTTGTTACCCTTCCAATCGTTTTCATGGCGTGTCCTTTTTGCAGAGATCAAAGGTGACATAACTTTTGTGTTATCAGCTGATGGGACATTAGTCTGGTCACGTTGATCACTTTCCACTGCGCTGAGGGTGAGAGGTGACGCAGCAAGCGTGGCATCATCTTAGTGAATGTTATAGCGTTATGTAAGTTAAGGTTTTATATAAAGATAAAGCATTAGGCTCTCGGACTCGCAACCGTAAGGTCGTGGGTTTGAATCCCGTCAGGGGCCCGACGTTGTGTCCTTGGGAAAGGCACTTTACACGAATTTTCCTCACTTCACCCAGGTGGGAATGGGTACCCGGCTATAGACAGCGAAAGATCTTGTCAGTTTGTTAGTGTTTGAGCGCTTAATCGGCTGCTCACACTGTATGCTTCCCGGGAAGCTGAGAATGTTTTGGAGTGTTCTATGGTCTGCTGGGGTAATAATATAGTGTAAAGCGCATAGAGCCTGCTGCTGAGTGGGGATATGCGCTATACAAATGCTATCTATTATTATTTTATTATTATGTTATGACACTGAGAAAATAATCTACACAAAACACAAACGAAATGAACTTTCAAAGAAAGTCGAAAGATGTTTCAGAAGGTAATGACTGCAATTAACACTGCAAATGAAGAAAAAGAAAAAGCATTTTTTTTTTTAAAACGATCGTTGGGGGAAGATAGTGTGCTGGACAGGTCCTACACTTTTATTCTGAGTGAGTTATTAAATAATGAAAAGCTACTGACTTCGTCCATTCAAATGCAACGGAAAAAATAAGGAGAAGAGACTAGTCCAAATAAGGGAAAATGCCTTCATAATTTGGTAACTTTCAAGTACAAAAAAGACGTGTGGACAAAAAATAAAATAAAATAAAACAAAATCCATAAAGATGCATTTAAAAAACAGGCATTGTCTTGTCACGAGATAAACAGTTCTGTGGGAACAGTGGGGAGTTTTAGTCATTATTAACATTATCAGCAGCATTAAAACGGGAAAAAAGAGGGAACAACCAGATATATATAACTCCCAAATGAAACCAACAAGAAATATTACACAAATTTCCCTTTTTAAGAGCTCACACGGTTACGTGAGTGAATTCTGGACTATCAAACGAAGTCCGGAGACGAGTCGAAGCCAGGGTTAGTCGGTAATGTAGCACGTGGCCGCTCATTGTTAGCGCGACAAAAACAGTCAACCCTCATTCTCTCCCTCACAGGTGGGATAGTCGGAAACATCGGGCTAAAATCCGATGGATGCCGGGTTATACGGTTTTATTTCTATTGTTTTAAAGGCATTTCTACGCAAAATTTAGATCTGACTATAAGTGAGCATATGAAATGGATAATTTGCTATCGATAGGGCCAATAAAATTTTTTTGGACATTTTGTGGGTTTTATCACCAGGCCGACGAATTGTAAATTAATAATGCATCCATTTGTCACAATTCACCACTATTTAGGAGGCAAATAACTTGGCCCTGCCTGAGAGGGACAGAGAATCCCAACATACTGATAAAGATGCGTGATTAAAAAAACAAAACTTTCCCGCAATGGAATCAAATTCATGTCTCTGAGAACACTCCTAACTGCTGTACAGCAATTGTCAGTCCCCACTGTTAAGTCAATGTATGTTTGTTTTAGAAAATTACAAAACTGGAAAAGTTTTCCCTCGCAAAAGTATTGCATCTTTAATACCATGCTTTCTCTCTCCCAGCCCCAGCCGATAAGAACTGTGGAGCAGGCTGGGAGGACGACCCCAACAGTGACAGCTGCTACCAGATGAACATAGAGCTTCTCTCCTGGCTGGATGCGAGGCAAGCATGTCAGGCAGCCGGAGGAGACCTGGCCACCATCTCAAACATACAGGAGCAATTTTATCTTTCAGGTACCTGTAGCCATGCTTTGATCGTGATGTCTTAAGTTTTACAACACTCTTGTGAAACAGAAGGCTTTTATTTTTTAAGTGCTAATTTTTCTAGATATAAGCAGTATGAGAAAGAAGAAAACATCTAAATCACTTTTCAAGAAAAATAATGTTTGACACATGCAAACGCACACTCACGTATACACACAGGCACACACACGCACACGCACACACACACACACGCACACACACACACACACACACACACACTCTCACACACACATACAATCACATTCAGTCACGTTTGCATGTTCATTGTTTGTTTCCAAGTCATTTTTTCCCCCCGTTCCTAAGAAATCAGGTCTACTCTTTAGCCTTTCCAGCACCATGCGTGTATATTTTCAGCAGTGCTTGTATCTCCAACCATCCCAAGAGCATATGTTCTCAGTTTCGAGGGGTACCGAATTTGCTCATTTTTCTAAATTAGCAAACATAATTAAACTTTAATTTCTCACAATATTTTTTCATTTGCCTTTAAATATTGTCATATGTTATTATCTAAATCTCATTACAAAGATACTACTTCACTTTTTAGAATACATGCCTCTTTTTCTGAAATACTGCTGTATTGACTGGGACTGGGGTTTGGTTTTAGTTGTTGTTGTTATTGCTGTTATCGATCCAGCAACATCTGAGCTCTCACCCTTCTGTCCAATGCCATAATTTAGTGATAAGTGCTGGTTTGCTGCAGTCGCTGTAATGTTCCGTTGAGTGTGTTGTCAATGTTAGGTCTCAGAGGGAAAAGTGTAGCTCTGATGTCATTTATAGCTGTACAGTGGAAAAGGGAAAAAACGGGGGTTTGGGAGTGCACAAAAATGGCTGGGGATGGAAGGTTAATACTTCAATTATTTACTGGATTTTGTTCCTCCTTATAAAATGTGATGTCACATTCCTCCTTGAAATTAACAAAGTTCTCTTCCTGACTACCTGTGCTCACTTACCTTTTAACCCCCCCCCCCCCCCCCCCCTCCCCAGGACGTTCTTTCAGTTTCAACGCTGACTTTTTCTGGATCGGAGCCAACGACCGTGGTGTGGAGACAGGATGGCAATGGGCGGACAGATCACCAATGGCCTTTATCAACTGGGCTCCTCGTAAGCTATCACTTTTGTCAACCTAAAGTTTAACACTCTTGAAAACTGCTGGGGTTTTGACACTGTAATGTAGAACCATTTTACGTGAAATCTGGAGGAATTAAGAAAACTCCATGATTTATGTTTTTAGAGAAATCTTCCAGTTTAGATGAAGATAGGAAAAAATGTTGGAGTGGGGGGATTGAATAAATAAATGTTTGGAAGAATGTCAGTGGTTTTATACTGTCCCAAAGAACTCATTTCCTGCCATCAAAAGAAATGATTTACTTGAAACATTGCTTGAACAGCTATAGAAATGTGAATGAGGTTTCAGTCCTCCCCTGCTGTCACCAGTCTTTGCTGGCCTTCTTTTTGTCACTCCCATTGCAACATCCATTCGTCCATTCATTTCAGTTACCCTGCTTGTGTGAAAAAATCAAAGTGAAACTGTAACAAGTTTTCAAATAAAGTAGAATTCAAATTTCGGAAGGACACTGTGTTTAAATGATTACGCTGACAAAAAGCCTCTGACATGGATTTTTTTAAAAGGTGTTTTGTCAGCTTACAGCTGTGCTGCTAGCTATTGTACACAGTATCAGAAAAATGTCAAATGACTTTTTTGTGATGCATAAGTTTTCATTTAAATACCTATTCTGATGGTACGTGAAAATTCCAAGAAATGATTGAGGTTCTCAACTCTTGTGTAACATTGTGGTCTTGTGTCTCTTCAAGCGTTGCATGGGAATTATGTCTTTGCTTCTACTTTCCCTCCTCCTTCATTTTGAAATTAGTCTTGACTTTCCTTTTCTGTTAGCTACTGTATTCTGCTGGTTGTTCCAAGATTAAAATGTCGATGTCTCTTGAGGTCTTGTTCTTTTGCAAGCTCCATTGTATCTTAATAGGAATTGTCTATTTTCTATCTTTACACTGTATGATTCTGCATGGAGGAGATCTTTTGGTGAACTCTCTACTTTCATGAGATGCGGGTGTGTCATTTATTTTAGTTTGCATTGCATAAACAGTTGGTACTGAGCTCCATAACTTTCTAACATAACTCAGTGTTTGAAATCTTATGTACACATGTCTTTCCTCGACTTATATTTAGGCATTTCTTTGAAGTGAAAACTGTTGGGCTTTTTCTTCTAATGCATGAAGACATGCTCTCTAAATCTCTCTCTCTCTCTCTCTCTCACACACACACACACACACACACACACACATTCACACACACACACACACAAGTCTAGTGGTTAAGCTACCGGACTCGTAATCATGAGGTTACAGGGTTGGGGGTTCCAGCCGCGGACCCGACGTTGTGTCCTTAGGAAAGGCACTTTACACAAATTTTCCTCACTTCACCCAGGTTGGAATGGGTACCCTGCCATACACAGCGAAAGATCTTGTCAATATGTTAGTGTTTTAGCGCCTATAAATGGCTGCTTGCACTGTATGCTTCCCAGGAAGTTGAGGTTGTTTCAGAATGCTTTCAGGTCTGCTGGGGTAATAGTATAGACTGTGAAGCGCATAGAGCTTGCTGTTGAGCGGGGATTTGCGCTATACAAATGCTATCTAAAATATTATGTCTTTCTCTCTTTCATGTCTCTCTCTCTCTCTCTCTGTATCTCTTTCTTTCTCTCTCTCTTTCTCTCTCTCTCTCTCTCTCTCTCTCTCTCTCGCATACAGGAGTGTACTCAGTCTTCCATTGAGATTTCAGTTATATGAAACTCACTTTGATAGTTTGTCCATGTTAGTGAATGACTGGCCAATGCATATGTTCAGATCATGATCAGTCATGGGTTATTTTGATTAACCTACAATGTAAGTGCCAAAATGTTTTCTACTTTCTGGAGATATTTGTTTGCATTTGGTTTGATAAATTTTACACCATGTGCATTTTTGTCATAACAATTGGTTTCACAATTTTTTTAGAAAAAAGAACAAATTTGTTAACAAGAGCTGACTAAAAGTTTGTGGAAAAGTAAAAAAAAAATACCTGAAAAAAAAAAAAACCAATAATTTTTTATTTTTTTAAAGCAAATTAGTCTTGTACTGAAATTTTTGTTTTAGTTGGTAGTTATAATGTTTTGTAAGTTTTGATGGCGATATAATGGGATTTTGTAATGAGATTTAGAACATCACATGAGTTTGTTCTTTTTCAACCATCTCTGCATACATTGAATACATTGAATGTGCCTTCCCCTGTCTCTCCAGACCAGCCCAACAACGCACACAATTCTGACTGTGTTGTCATGATAACTCAATCTGGACGCTGGGATGATCTCCCTTGCCAAGACCGTTATGGATACATCTGTGAGAAAAAGGGTAAGTTAGGTATAGTTTTTATAGTTTTTAGTACTCAGTTTCACTCCATGAAGCGCATTATAAAAAATATTGTCTGCAATTTTAAGCTGCTAAATTGCACATTCTTCATTATTCATAATAGTCTAACCTGGGTAAAACGGCCACCCATTGTCATGGAGAAAAGTGGCTGTATAACACAGGTAGCCATCTTAGGCAGGACTGATCAAAATGAAGAAAGTAAATCATTCTCTTCCAGCGTCCAAATCGGGTGTGATCTGAGGATCAGGACTGCCATAAGAAAAATTCAAAAGGGTTTTTGCTTTCTTTGGAAAAAGGGGAGGTGGGTGGTTTAGGAAGGTGTTTTTTTATTGTTGTTTTGTTTTTTGGTTAACTTTCTTTTTGTTGCTGATTTTGTGCACGTGTAAAATAAACTAAACATTATGTAAGTAAGATGATGAAGACCGACTGCCATGGTAAAACAAACTCACATGTCGCCACTACTCGGAGAACAAGCAACGGGTCTGTCGCAAGTTCACGTCAACGACCGTTGTAATTTTGTTACTGATTAGGTACACAAAACATAGACCAGTCACCTCACAACTATTTGTGCATGAGTTGTGGGTGGGGCTTATAGATTATGACAAGTCACGCTTACCTCACCAGCAGTAGGAAATTTTTTATTAGGCTTACCTATTGGTCAACTTGGGTAAACATTCAGTGGAGGGACTAACAATAACGACAGGTGAATGAATTATGATGGCCCGTCCACAGTGTGAGGGGCTGATTCAAAATTTAGGACAAAACGACGGGCAATGAGTGACCATGCCTGGCGGCCTGAGGCAGGTAAATTTGACAGTACTTTTTAAAAAATAATAGAGGGTGCCCACTAGCAAATGCGGGTCGGGTCGGGTCGCTTTCTGGTGGTTTCAGTGCATGCTGCAACCCTGCCGCGATTGTACCCGACGACCTGGAAGTAGAGAAACCTTTAACTTACATGCGACTACATAGAGGGCGTAAACCGGACTACGACTACGATTGGCTGAACCTTTGACCCATGAATACATTAAGTAGGCCTACGGTACTCTTGGACTTCCCGCACTCCCTCTCTCTGTCTCCCTCTGTGTGCATGTGTGTGTGTATGTGTGTGCGTGCGTGTGCGTGTGCATGAGTGCTTGCTTGCTTGCTTGCTTCCTTTAGTGTCTCTCTTTTTTCTTGTCTATTTCTGTGTTTTGAAGCTCTCTTTCATTTCTCCAGAGGAAGAATAGGAATAGCACTGTTTGTTAATTTCGCTTTTATTGTTTTTCACACAAGTAGGGAAACTCTATTCACAAAGACTGAACTATTTCGAAGAGGGCGCCACCGGATTTTGAGTATCAAAATGGACACATGACTAAGCCTTGTTCTGATTGGCTGCAAACCACCAGATCGCGCGATTTGCAGGCCTGAAAGCGTTTGTTTTTGTAGGTTACCAACTGAGTCGATCAGTTTGTGCCACGATGGCCGCTTTGCGCCCTCAATTTGGCTAACCCCGACTGCCCGTTCGGCCCGACCTGATCACGTATGTGGGAACCCCCTATAAGGGGGCCGCGGTCGCGTAGGACAGGTGACGGTTTTACAGTTAAATTATATAGAAAAAAACGCAAGGGGGGAAATTGAGAGTAGCTGTTTGAACAGGTGGCCGTATTATACAGATGGCCGTTATGGCAGGTTCGACTGAATATGGATTTTCCAGTTACATTTTCTTCCTTTGGAACAATATGCGCACCTTAAAATATGTATATTTGCACTTTTGATATGCTGGATCGATAACAACAACAGCAACACTCCTGATTTGTGCATTGACTGATCAAAATGTGTCACAACATTGCCTTGGTATTCTGATTTTAAGTGATGTGTGTATCTACGTTCTTAAAAAATTAACATTTTAAACTGTTGTCATGTCAATGTAAAAAGAAGAGTCCATTATTCTTTTTTCTTTATCACCACAAAGAAGGGCAAAGGCATCGTCAATGTTTATTATCAGAATGCTCCTTCCTTCTACCATAAAAGACGAAAAGATTATAAAACTTCATTAACGCACATTTTATGTATTTTTTATAATGTTTGTTATGTCTACCAGGAAGAGTGACTTCACCTACCCCGAAGCCTACAACATCACCTGCAAGACTTCCAGGTGAGAATGACTAGTCTGCTGTCCTTGTTCACTTTTTAATTCTTTATCACCGGCAAGCCGCTCCCAGCAGCTGGTGGTCAGAATGACTGTGCCGGTGAGCTGCTGACAACGGCTTGGGCACATTCCTTTACGAGGACTTGGACAGAAAATTGCTTTTTGACAATTTGCAAAAACAGGTCTCTTTTATTGGAATTTCATTCTGTAGTGGAAGAACTATCAAGATAGGTTCACTTGTTTTGATTTAATGACCAATTTAGTGAAGTTTTTGTCATGACAATAAAATTCAAAATGATCCACACCATATTCATCCCTACACTCACCTATCAATACCAAACATGGACTACGAACAAGACATTAAAGCAAAGAATTACAACATTTGAAATGCGATGCCTTAGAAAAGCAGTAAACAAGACCAGGCGAGACAAAATTAGAAACTCAGTAATCAAAGAAATGGTGGGCACAAATGATGTCAAGCATCACATCCAACACCAAAGATTCAAATGGTTCGGACATCTCATGCGAACCAACACACCATCCAGCACAATGTGCCTACTTTAAAAAATGCCAATTCAACAAGGCCAGAGGGCGACCGAGAAAGGCCTGGATAGATGGAGTCAGGGAAACATTAACCACCCTCGTCATCCCCCTGACCCAAGCTCTTCGGCTGGCAACTTTCTTCACGCGACGCCCAAGAGGATATAAGCGGTGGATAAAAGTAGAAAAGTAAAGTTAGATTTAGTACCAAAAATGGGCTCCGGCACAGTGGGTTTGCCCCTTTCAGAGATAAAGGGTTGAAGAAACCCTTAATATTCTGCTTCTGAGGGTAAATACAACAAACTGTCTCCACTTTTCCTGTAACATTTTTGTCGTAATAAGTTTGATCTCTATAGTGAGGGAGCAAGTTTTCTGAGTGGTCTTTGCTGTTCTGACTTTGGCCTGTCAAAACCTTGGACTGTGTCAATTCAGGACTAGAAATATTGTTCATCTTATTCCTTTAGTGCAAAAGTAGCCTACAGAATTTTTCAATTACCATTTTTTTGTTCATATGCTTCAAAAGGAGATTCTCCAAGATGTACACAAATACCACTTTAATCCTTTTTGAACGGAATTTTGTATTTTAACAAGACAATCTGAAAGGTGAAATGTAGATTCTTACTGAAGTGAAATACAGTTTTGCCACTCTTGACAAATTCCTTTAACAAAATGTCCTACGCATTTAGAGAATAACACTGATATTATGGAGGAAGGGTGGGGATGAAAGCAGGTTTCTTCACGAGGTTTTCTTTTTTTTTTTCCTTGGTTTTTTCTTCTTTTTTCGTTGTTTTTGTTGTTAATTATTCTTATTATCCAATATCAAGCCAGAAGGATGTAAAAATTCTTCTTCTTCTTCTTCTTCTCTTCCGCCTCCTCCTCCTCCTTTTTAGGGCCTTTTATTTTTATTATTACTATAATTACCATCTTTAACATTCTTATTATTGTAATTGTTATTTCTCTTCTGCCTTTTCTTCTTCTTCTTCTTCTTCTTCTTCTTTTTCTTCTTCTTCTTCTTCTTCTTCTTCTTCTTCTTCTTCTTCTTCTTCTTCTTCTCCTTCTCCTTCTCCTTCTCCTTCTCCTTCTCCTTCTCCTTCTTCTCCTTCTTCTTCTTCTTCTTTATTATTATTATTGTTATTTTTCCTGTCTCCAGGAAGCAAGATGTGGGGCTGCCCCGTGGGCTGGCGAGGTTTCCGAGGCTCGTGTTACCAGGTGCTGAGGTCTACGGGTGGCCTTAATTGGAATGATGCTAAAACCACCTGTGGCTTCAGGGCCTCAAACTTGGTCGCAATCACCGATGATGCTGAGAACAAATTCGTTCTTAGTCTTTTGCCAAAATGTGAGCACTTTTTTCATCCTTGATTTCTTCCTTAATCCCTCATTCTGGTGTCTGTTGTATTGTGGTTAGTTGCTTGCCATCACACACAAAAGATGTGAGTCTGGTTCCTGTCAGGGTGGAATTTGTATGGAGTATCAAAGTCTTTCTGCAGGGGACATTATTTCCTTTTCAGCCAAGGTTGACATCAAATTCTTCCTCTTGAATGGTTTAAATTGTGTTAGTGGGGGTGTAAAACACCTACATGTTTTTAAAATGAATCCCTCCCTTCTGTATACTGTTGTTATTCTGCCTCGACCACTCTGCAATTTCTTACTTTCTTCTTTTTCTTTTCTCTCATTGTCTTACTGCATCTTACTATGTATTAGTTGTTTCTTTCACAGAGAAGCTTTTTGTTTCTTTTTTTTTATTGCATCTTTGTAAAGCTTTTGCATGTCCATAGAGAATAGTTGTTAGATTTTTCTTAGTACGTGTGAAAGACGAGTTCAATTTCTATGTGGTAGAGTTGTTAATTGAGTATCTCTGTCCGTCTGCTGGGATATCATATCCCACAAAGTTGAATTAGGCGTTGATGGGCAGGATGAACAGCCCACCTCTTACAAGATCGGAACTGTTTTAGTGGGGGGACGTAAAACAAACTACAACTACTAAGCCAGTCCAAGAATGTAACTTTTTTCTATGATGACTAAACAGGGTAGGGCAAGTCAAAGGACAACAGTCGAAATAAACATGAGTCGTCCCCTTAGCTCCGCTCGGAACTTAATCATCATCTCTGGTTTTCTCACCCTGAATCAAGGGATAGACCATAAACGAACACTTGCCATTTTTCCATATCCTGGGCCTGCCTCATAACATTATTCCGTGTCTTCCCATTTTTCTGGATATTATTCTCTGTAACTCTCCCAGGTTTCACGTGGCCTTCTCCTTCCCCTTCCCCTTGATCTCTTATCCTGTGAAATGCAACCCAACACTTTCTGTGTTATGCAGTTTCTTGGCTTCCTGCGAGTGTGCCTCAGAATTTATTTGTCCTACAACTCACATTTCGGCCCTCCACTCTCAGTTGGGCCACTTCTACCAGCATATATGAGTGTTCACAGACCTGTGCTTCTCATGAGCTCCTCAAATTTGAGTAGCACCAACAAGGGTTAATATACCAAATACTCATGAACTAAGAAAAAATTCACCTGACTTTGAAACAGAAGGTCCCAATAGTCTTAGGTTATTTGAAAGGGATTTAGAATAGAGGAGAATTGCAGTCTGTCAGGTGAGGAGAAGGGAGGTAGGCTTGAATCCTGTTCATTCATTCATTCATTCATTCATGCATTCATTCATTCATTCATTCGTTCATTCATTCATTCATTCATTCATTCATTCATTCATTCATTCATTCATTCATTCATTCATTGAAATTGAGAATTAAGTGAATAATTAATCAACTTATCATCACTTATTTCATTAACTCACTCAGCCCTGAGCCCGAGATAGGTTGCACACTTCTGCACTGGGCCCTGATCGCGACAGATTCGGGATGGAAATTCCTACTGCTTACTAACGGCAACACACATCAAATAAAAACCGACAACACTTTAAAAGTGACCCCTGGCCATTTCTTTATAAGAAACAGACTATTACAAGGGCAGAGGTTGCTTTCTTGTCCAACAATTGAGAATAACTTAACACGTGGTTTAAAAAAGTGGGAAATGAGAACGAGTCTTGGTCTTTCACCTGAGCCTCTTTTTAGTGTATGTTATCGACCTTTTTCAAATGGCAATATCTCACAGACTATCAAATATTTTCAAATTCTGCAAATTGTTATAGTGCATGTAATGACTAAACAAATTGAATGGGAAATATTATGGCGACTGAAGTTGATTTAGTTTTTTTTCCGATTTTACAAAAACACCTTAAACCACTAGGCACAGCCAGTGGACCGAGTTCTTAGCCTCAAGGCTGAGTGAGTTAATACATTAATTCATTCATATTTGTTTCTTCATGTATTCATACAACGGGAAAATTAAGTGGATCCATAATATGCCAATGATATTTCTTTCCTCCTTGTTCAGCCACAAATGAGTACGTGTGGATGGGCCTGAATGATCAGAGTATGGAGAACAGTTTTGTTTGGGATGACAGAACGCCCATTACATACACCAACTGGTCACCGCATGAGCCCAACAACCTCGGAGATGAAGACTGTGTAGTCATGTTCGCCAAAGTGAGTTTTTAGCTAATTTATTTTGGATTTGTTGATGTTTTGCCTTAGTGCATTTCAAAGATGATTCCAGATACAGTCAAATTAACTTTCTTCATCCCGTTTCTTAAAATAAGTAACAAGCACCTTTAGCACATGATGTCCTGATGACCCAATGTGATCTTGTGGAGAGTGAAGACTCCTTATGTGCACACATACCTGATCAAATAAGTTCCAAATGGAGGGATAAAGTTTACTTTTATCTTTGTTAATCCATTTGTTCTGGGTTTTGCAGAGAACTTTGGGATGAGAGAAAACTTTCTGAACCTGGAAGCAGAAATAAGGAGAGCACAAAAATACGATTGGTTTGTGCCTTTTATCCTGAAATGCAACGATTTGTTATTGGTGGACGAATGGCCATCATGTAGGTTACACGTCAGTTTCTGCGGTGTAGCAGTTAACTCTTTTCCTACCAGGACAAAATCCTCCACTGGCCCAGGGCTTTTCGCTGACCTATTTTTTATGCCCCTACCCCACCAAAGGAAAATGTCAAAACATCCAACTAAACACACTCAAACCATATCTTATGGCCCATCAATCTGAAGGTTAAAAAATAATCTATCAGATGGTGATACATTGTTGAAGATTTATTCCAATTATATTAGTTTGGGGTTTCTAAAAGTGATTATGCAATACCCGAGGTGTCGCATAAAATCAACTATTTTCCAGCTTTGAAAGGCCATATCTAAAAAAAGTACAACAGCAGCATCATTCAAACGTTTCAGGTAGGTTGCCACTAGTAATGCAAAGAAATGCTGAAAGTTATGTATGTGTGCCTAACATAAAAGTGAAAATATGAGACATATACTCAAGTCAGGGGAGCGCTTTTCTTTTCATTTTTACAATTTGAAGGGGACAAAAAAACCCGCTGAAATGACTAAAAATTGTCTCTCAGTACTATATTTTCTTTTGTATCAGCTAACAGGAAGTCTATTCTATTATTTTGAAAACTTGGATCAGCCGAAAATTTCGTGTCTTTACATTACTGGATTGGAAAAGATAGCGAACCACTCGAGCGTATTTTATGTCTCTCGGTCCAGGAAGGCGACGTCTGAGGGCCGATGTGGCTTGCAGTAGGAAAAGTGTTGAGGGAAGAAGTATACTCCTGGAAAAAAATGTTCTAAACAAATTGATTCCATTCACTTTCATGCAATTGTGCAAGAAGTGTATAGGTGAATAGGGTGTATAAGGGTGAATTTGTTGACTTTTTTTAAAGATGGATCTCTGTGGTGGCGTCGTAGATTTTCAAACCAGTTTCTTAGTGCAGATGAATTTCATAGAAAATATTAAAACTTCAACCTGAAATTTGGCACACAAGTGCAAACCTATATAGACAGTGGATCTATGAAAGGATTTTGACCTATCTTTAAAAATGAAAAAATGAGCCCAAATTTTAAGTCAACGGACCCCTGACAGTCAGTTGACAAAACTTTGTGGTAAATTGTAGAGAAAAAAAAACTGAATATGTCTACAAGTTACCAATATTTCCCAATTTTCTCTCATACATCCACAGAATAGATCTTAAATCTTTATCTTCAGCAAGCCACTCCCAGCCTTTACGACGACTTCGACATCAAATTACTTTTCAACAGTCTGCCAAAAAAAACGCGTCTCTCTTACTGGAAGTTCATTCATTAGATTAAAAACACTCAAAAAAAGGTTTGCTAGTCTCGATTTGATTACCAATTTAATGACGTTTTTGTCATTGTTAGATTTAGCACCAAAAAAAGGTCCCAGCATCGTGGGTTTACCCCACTCGAGGATAAAAAGTTAAAGCACATCTATGCCAAATTTGAGGCTTTTTCAGTAGTTTTTGATAACTCCTTGCACCATGGAGGTCACATATGTGAAAAAGCAAATTTTGAAAAAAACCCAGGATTTTTAAAGAGGATTTTTAGTTCAATATGCACTTTTCAAACACATTTTTAAGTCGTTTCGGGTGATTTTTCAACAGCTACATCATTGTGATCCAATAGAACTGATGTTGAATGCTTTTCCGCAAAAAACAAAAATGTCAATGTTTTGACAAATTTTATCTATATTATTCTCTGGGATCGCTGACTCGGGTCTTCCTTTAAGAACTTTGTCATCACATGTTGAAAAAGTGAATTCGGTTCCCATGGGAGGAAGTTTTTTTATCAAGACTCTCTATCTGTCTGCTGGGATGTTTTATCCCCCTCTGATCAGATTGGCCTTGGCAGGCAGGGTTGAAACAGCCTGCCAGTATAAATCTAAATTGCGTCAATGGGGAATGTAAAACATTTACTGCTATGTGCTATGTACGCAAAATGGTCTTGACATATAGGCTAGGCCTATTGAGCAACCTGACACAAAGTGTTGTCTTGCTTTCTCAAGTAGATGAGAGAGAGAGAGGGGCTCTCGTGGCCTAGAGGTTAAGGTGTTGGCCTCTCCTTCAAAAAGTCCTGGGTTCGAATCCGGGTAGCGACCGAAAAATTTTCTTCTTTAAATTTGTCTCCTTTCACCTCATTTCCTGCTCTCTAGCAATGTTCTGTCGTCTGCTTTCATCTCCTCTTTCTGCCCTCACCCCCTCACCTCCTTTGCCCCTTCATCTGGGCTCCTGATTCTTTCTGCAGCCTTTCTACTGCTACTCCTTGGCTTCTTCTTACTGCTGTCTTTCAGTCACCCTCCTGATCTTCTGGTAGGAAAGATCTACACCTAGCCTTCTCGGACAAGGGCGAAAAATCTCGGAGGGCCCGTGTGCAAGTTGCCACCCGCGCAAAATTCAAAATTTCCTACCAACTGAAAATATTAGGTGTGTCCCATGCGCTCATATGTTAGTTAAAACAAAAAAGAGAGAGAGAGAGAGAGAGAGAGAGAGAGAGAGAGAGAGAGAGAGAGAGACAGGCAGAGTCAAAGAGACAGAGAGACAAAGAGAGTGAGAGCGAGACTACAGAAAGAGAAAGGGAAAGAGAAAAAGACAGACCAACATTGGCAGAGATTATGAGAAGAAGAATGATAACACTTTAATCGTTCTGTACCAATTCAGCAATCCTCAACCCTGTTCTTTCCTCAGACTGGCAAATGGAATGATGCTAAGTGCCAGACCAAAGTCAAGTTGCTAGTCTGCAAACAGAATAAAGCCATCCACGCCAAAGCTGAAAGAGATATTGTGAAAGGCTGCTCTCAGGTAACACAGCAATACCTTTTTACATGTACAATCATTATTCAAAAAGAAATATTTAATCAGAAAATTGTATGGGTTCAATCCCCCATATCAATGTCAGATTTTTAAGTGGTTGCACCTCCAAATTTAATATCTGTCCCTGATTGGACTGGGCTATTTGAGTGGCAAGTCTTGGAACTCCCCAAGCTATCCAGTTCTAAAACCACCCATTTAGGGATTTGAACCAAGGCTATCAACACAGTCACCATGTATGATTCCTCCTGAGCTAATATTGCCAAGTTTTTATTTAGTCTTGAAACTAAGTAGTTGTCAGAATCATTAAATGTACCATCATCATTAGGCTCTTTAAGTTTACTGAAGTGAAGCTTGTTAAGAGGATCATCCCTATGAAGATCTGCATCCAAAATATCATCATCTTCACAGTTATTTTCGTCATTATTTTCATCACTATGAGTCACAGTGACGGTCATCTCTGTTCAAAAAGCACACCTCGTACACATACCAACCCCTGGGGTGGTGCTACTGACTGAAATGTCTTTAAGCCCTTCCAAAAGGGGAAACGTTAACATGTTCGTATGAACAGTACAGAATTGTAAATGGGCTGATTCATCAATGTCATGCTCATAACTAGGCCTGAACTGCAACAGGGAACTGCTGCTTTTTTTCCCCTAATCCTTACTATCATCATTTTTCCTCTACTTCTTTTGTATATTTATTTCACTTTTGTGACCCACTATTTACGGGGTGCCTTGAAAGTCAAAGCAGACTTAATGCTGTTGAAGCTAGAGAGGTGAGCAGAGTAAGTTTGATTCCCTGTAAGGGCTTCTCTGTTGACATCCACCCCTTGGCGCTCATATGACCTTAGGCAGTTGCGAGCGCCGTAAAACCTCTACTAAAACAAAGACCTCGAGCTGTTGAAGCTAGAGAGGTGAGCAGAGTAAGTCTGATTCCTTGTATGGACTTCTCTGTTGACACCCACCCCTTGGCGCTCATATGACCTTATGCAGTTGTGAGGGCCGTAAACACTCTGCAAAAACTAAACCTCAAACACAAACAATGCCTGCCTCTATTTTGTTCACTCACTTTCTTCTACAGGGCATAGGGTATGGGGCACAATGCTACAGCTATATATTCCAACCCTCTAAGAACTTTGCTCAGGCTCAGGCATACTGTAAGAGCAAGGGTGGGAACCTGGCCACTGTAAACGACAGGTGAGTTCTCTATCAAGGGTCGCTATGTGCCAGGTTGTCACTGTGTGTTTGTTTGAGAAAAGAGAAAGAAGGCCAATACAATAATGACTATATTTGTTATTTAAAAGTAGAGAAAAAGCGAGACAGATAGACGAGTTAGATGGTGGAAAAAATCAGAAGTGGGATTCACCATTAGTCCCCTACAACCAGCCACTGTCAGTATGTATTGTTCAGATATTGTACAAGTACAAATACGTTTTGTGGTGTATTTGGTTGTTTTTGGTTGTGGCAGGGGTCAGGCCTAGTCTATTGTATTGTTTGGCTGAAAGTGTGAGAGTGAGTAAAGTGTGAGTCTGTGTTCAGTTGTATTGTTTGCAAGTTGATAAAAGTCTGAGTTACTACTGGTGGGTCTGGGAGAGGAGAGAGTTGTATCAAGGCAGAGGAGGCCTGCTGACAGTATAGGTTGTGAAAAAGGCTAGTTAGAGCCTCGGTTCAGTTCTGCGTGAAGTGTGAGATTCCAATCCAACGCATCGGGGCCCCAAAGCTGCGGAAGGAATCACAACACAGAGCAGAGGAACAGGTTTGGCTAATTCCTGTTATAGTGGCATGTGACAGAAGGTTAGTAGTGTAAAATCTTTGTTTTATGTTCCAAGTAATAACACGTTTCGTGCTACGAGTGATGGTTGGAGATGTTTTGGTTGTTCATAATCATATTTTAGAGGGGAGGTTGAGTTGAAAAGATAATCAGATACAACATTTGCTCTGGTAAATTGACCAATATTTAAACTCCTCTTTAACTCCTCCATTGACAGTGCTATGTACATTGTGGATGACAAAAAGATCAGATTAACTACCACCATTCATTTTATAAGGCTGTTTAGGAGCACTGTACGCTTTTCATTTTTATGCTCAAAATGGGGAGTTTCTAGACACTGAAGAAAAAAACAGTGCATGATGATATTCATGGTTATGAGTGTATGTACATTATTTTTATAGACTTAGAGTGTGTCCTCAGTGTATGATCGAAAAAAAAAGAAGAGTAGACCCGACATCCTCAGATGCCTGCCAATTGAAAGGTTGATAGTCTGCTTTTTATGACATAATTTGCTCTTCAAACGTCCCATTGATTATCTATTTTGTCCTTTCTCACTAAAGACAATGGTTTGAGTCCAGTAAAGGGAAGTCCCTTTCATGGAGTTTTTCCATCTTTCAGCATGGATGCTGTATCCCATTCAGTTGGCCTTGACCTTGATAAAAAGGGTTGAAGCAGACCACCTTTGTATAACCATGACTCATTCGGGACGCATCAGAAGTATACATCCGATAGCTTGAGCTCCGTTGGAGGCGCATCAGACGTATACTTTCGATAGCATTTTTCGACCGTTGTATCCGCACAAATGAAGGTATTCCAGGGAACAAACTTTTGGTTGACATTGCTAAACCATATTTTATTTTGTATTTATTTACTTTGGACCGCATAGCGTCGGGGTTTTTTGTAATTGTCTGTGGCGATTTAGGAAGGCGATTGAGGCAACGAAAAACTCGGATCTTCGAGGAGTACCATTCAAAGAAGGACAAGTCACAATGACTGAAACTATATCTTCACAGTTAGCTTCATTATGGTTGTGTTGTAACATATCTTGTTTGAAAAATTTTATCGATATTATTCTCTGGGATCGCTGACCCGGGTCTTCCCTTAAGAGAGCTTTTCTTCACTGTCAACTTAGAGGAAAAAAAATTGGGGGGGGGGGGGGGGGTTCATACACTATTTTTGTAGGGACCCTGGCAAGTTTAGAAATATATCCAGGCAAATCGGATTAGATCTAAATCAAAGTCCAAATGTTGAATGTGTAGATAGTGAAAAAGTGAAAACAGACTTTAAAAATATCTAAAGGGGGAAAAATGGCAGACTTTCAAAGTTCAACCCCAAACCGCGCGTCTCTGGGTGAAAATTTGGTCCAAAACTTGCGTCCCGAATGAGTAAAAAGTGTTTCTGGTTCCTGGTTGTAAATATTTGATGACTTCAAGGGGGAAAAAAGCATTAGTCACAAGAAATTTATAGAGGGCAAGTTTCTTTTTTTTTTCTTGTGTTCATATTTTTACGAAATACTGCAGTTCTTTCAGTGTACAACTGTTTTATTTTACTGGTACCTGACTACAGACATTTCTAATGAAGGTAGTATTGATGAACAAAATTAAATTAGCTAAACAATCAAACATTTCAAAACTTTGGCAAAAATGTTAAAATGTGACGTGTTCCATTTTATCCTGTAGGCCTACTCTTTATTTGCTATCAACTTGTACTCTTTTATTGTTCTCCACAGATATGTGCAAGCATTTTTGGCTGCTGAAATGAGGACAAAACCTGGAGCTGCATACTGGATTGGCATGTCCATGACAGCAAAGACCAACTGGACCTATGCCTGGAACACTCCTTTCGATGTGGACTTCACAGCCTGGGACAAATCTCACACAGGTACGATGAGAAATCCTGCCCCCAAAAAAGTGGCTCAACAACACAAGTCTTCATGAGAGAAATCCTTTGCATTTACATTTTAACCTATAGGCACAAAATACTTTATTACTTTTTGCCGCCACTATTACCTTGTGGTGCTAAGAGGAGAAGCGTCTTTCTCTTGTTTGTTGTATAGCCTGTTTCATAGCTATGTTGTTCTTATCTAATACATATCTTACCCCCTCGATCCATCTTTTCCACAGCCTGCCACAAAATTAGGAGTGAAAAGACAGATGTACTGTACTATTTTTGGAGTTGCATTTGTTTCCTCTCTGTGCTGTATTAATGTTACCGTCTCCCCGTTTTCAAGGCATGATGTACTAAAATACTTGTATGTTCTTATACTTAATGGGTTAAACATTTTTGAGTGTTAAAATTCTTTATACATGTCACGCCAGCCAAGTTTTATTTTTTGCAATATCTTCTACTTCCTGTTCTTCTATTGGGGTCCAAGACCCAGGATCTGTACATTTCTAATCCAGATTTCTTTTACTCTTTTCATATTCCACAAAACAGTTGAAATCCACCATATTCCACAAAACAGTTGAAATCCATCCCAGAGAATAATTTCAGATAAAACTGATGATGTTCCGAGAAAGACATGTCCAGTTGACATTCTATTTGCTCTTAGATGTTTGACAGGCTTAGCGTGATTTGACATTTAGCTAACAAGAGTTGTCTGCATTTAGTCATGTAAAATCTCCTGGGTATTTGTAATGTAGTTTTTCATGGATGGACCTTATATTACTCTTCACATCTGATCTAGTGGGTGGTTGGCAGTTGCTCTAGTGTGGTTTGCTAGCTCTTTCCTATCCAACATCTATCGTCTTTATCACTCCTCTTTTTTTTCGTTTGTTACTCTCTTGTAATGCATCTTATCTATGTATATGGCCTAATTGTGTTGCAAGTGCTGTAAAATGCTAACAGAAATATAAAACAGCTGATCCCTAATGTGGAGAGACGTTTTGAAAGAGGTGCAGTCCACTGACAATCAGTATGTTTTGTAGAGGGTCATTTACATTGCAAAATTTAGACCTAACTAACAAGCTGGACTTGCTTTATTGCCTATGGAAGTACTCCTAGTTGTTTTAAATACTAAAACTATATATGCAAGTAAAAATTCCGGACTTGAAAATCTGTCAGCTATATCTGTGTTTCTAATTGTGTGTGATTATGTGTGTGTGTGTGTGTGTGTGTGTTTGTGTTTGTATGCTATGTGCGTGTTTGCGATTTGTGTTTATCACTTTTCCTTGCTTATATTCACCAGGCAATGAAAACAACACTTGTGTAGGTATGCAGACCAAACGACCGATGGGGTTGTGGGTGAACATTGACTGTAACAAGACTCAGGGCTACATCTGTGAGCTACCCAGAAAGGGTTTCACCACACCAGTGCCCACCACCACCACCACAGCTAAGCTACTCTGTCCCTCTGGCTGGTTCACTTACGGGAACCTTTGCTATAAAGTAAGGGAAATGTGTGAGAATGTGTGTTCATTTATTTTGGCTCTTTCTTGTATGTGGTAACAGTGGTACAGTGGTGGTGGTGTCATAATATGAGGGGTGGAGGTGGGGGAGTGTTGGTGGTGGTGGTAGTTGTGATACTATATTATGATAATGGTAAGTGTTGACATCATATTGAGGAGGAGGTGGCAGTTGTAGTTGTGAAGGTGGTGATGATGTAGTAATATGAGGGTGGTGGTAGTGTGACTATGTTGCTGGTGCTCATTGTTATCTTCACTCTTAGTGTCGCCATTGTCATGACATTCATTCTCGTCCTCTCGATAATTACCTCCTTCCCCTTTTCCTGTCATACTTCCATATCCCCCCCCCCCCCCCCCCCACACACACACACATTCTTCTTTTAACTCTTTGTCTTCCTCCTCCTACTTTCCATCATCGTCATCATCATCATCATCATTGATTTACAGCAGAAAAATACTGAAGACTTTAATACAGTTGAGTGTTTTAAATAAAATGTGCAAAATTTCGCCTATTCAGGCTTCATCGAGAAGTTAATATCTTAGAGAAAAAACACCATAGCAACAAAACATTCACTATACCTGGATACCTGGAGGTGTCATCTCTGCCTCATAGTTTGACGTGCAATGACCCTCCATCATTCATGGTCGCGAGTTTCCGTTGCACATTCTGACATATCGGGCCAGTCCAAGTTCTTATGTTGTCTATCCATTCATAATATAAAAATTTCAAAAAATGCCTTGCTAGGGTTGACTTTGCCGCGGCTCTGGTTGATAATTCAATAGCTCAAAGAAAGGTCAGCCAAAAGGTAAAAGTCTTACCACAGACTTGTAATTTTTACAACAGAAAAAAACTGAAGACTAGAATAGAGTTAGGTATATTTAATAAAATCATCATCATCATCATCATCATCTTTTTCTTCATTGTATAAAGAAGGTATTAAAACAGTTAAGACCTTGTTGTATTTCCAAAAATATATATTTTTCACAGTTCATCGTTTCGCCAATAAGGCTTCATCAGGAACATAGTATTTGAGAAAAAAATAAATGATCATCATCATCGTATCATCATCATCATCATCATCATCATCATCTTAGTTATCATTATGTCTATATCTATAGGCCTTCCAAATGACAATGGACAACATGCTGACGTGGAATGATGCTAGAGACTACTGTGCCAGCCTCTGGACCGGCGGTACCTTAGCCACCGTCAGGAACAGAGGCTTTGAGAACTGGATGAGGAGGAGTGTTGTCAAGTACGTTTGAACAATGTGTTTGTTTGGGGGTTTTTTCATGTGTATGTGTTCATGTTTGTGTTTGTGTGGCCGTATGTGTATGTGTGTGTTTTTGTATGCGTTTTTGTGTGTGTGTGTGTGTGTGTGTGTATTTTTGCTTGTGCTTATTTGTATGTGTATGTCCTTGTTCATATGAGTATATAACTGTAATAATAACAATAATATACTTAACTCTATTACTTCTCTCACAAAGAAATGCTCATGGAATTAAAACTATGACATAGATTAATAGAAGCATATACCTAGAGGTGTATGGGCATATAAATATAATAGATGTCTGCTATTCTGAATTTATTGGGTGTTTGGTGTCAGCAACGATTTTCTTTGCTTCTTTTACAATGCTGAAGTTGTGAACCACATCAAAAGAGAAGAAGAAACTACGGTATTAATAACTTTTGTTGCTTACTGCATAACTCTGTCCAATTATAATTGCTGTTGTTTAGAAATGTTCCTACCATAACGTGAAATTCCAAAAATAATTATTTGTATTGCCATTTAGAAAGTGTCCTTTTTATTTCTGACTATTTTGAATGATTTTAATTTTCTTTGAAAAGTAGCTTCTGTCAAGTCTTTTTAACCCTTCCAGTTCCAGCCCCAGCCATTTTTGTGCACTCCCTAACCCCAGTCCCAGCCAATACAGTAGTATTTCAGAAAAAGAGGCATTATTTCTAAAAAGTGATGTAGTATCTTTGTAATGTAGCTTTGATAATAACATATACCAATTTTTAAAGATAAATGAACAAGTAATAAGAAATCTAAAGTTTAATCAAGTTCGCTAATTTCGAAAAATGCGCGAATTCGGTTCCCCCCCGAAACTGAGAATATACGCTCTTGGGACGGAGGGAGGTACAAGCGCTGCTGAAAATATACGCGCTTGGGGCTGGAAGGGTTAAAATGATATCGTCAACATGTCTATTTTATGACAGCTTAAGTGTTGTGTACATTGATCCCTAAAAATGTGTAAGCCTGGATGACCTCAACAGTCCTATCATTATTTCTAAATTCATACCATTTTCTTTCCCCTCACCCCATCTTTCCTCCCCCCTTTCCTTGCACTGTTGTTGCGGGAAAGTGAACTCTGAGTGAAGGTGACATGGGCTCTGGCAATGGGGATAGAGGTCCAACAACACAGTGGGGCTGTATGTTATGGGGTAAAGTGGGGGAGGGTCAAGTTAACTCCATACGTTTTTAATGAACGTGCTAAACTGAAATCTTGTACACAAATACATCTGATATCCATGATATGCCCTGAGTTTTCTTCCCCACCAAAATGTTCTCTGCAGATATTGAACAAAGTCAATTCCCAGGACAAAAATTTATTCACACCTGCTCTTATGACCATCTGTCCAAGACAATCGCCTGTACGAATAGCCACACCTGAGCTCCCTCTTTTGCATGATGTTAAATCTATGATATTGTATTCTAAAGAGAAACAGAAGTTTTCAAATGCACCCTGGTATGTATTTATCATCTCAATTTCAGAAATATGCAAGACACATTTTGGATTGGTCTCAGCGACCGCAGCACTGAAGGAGGTTTGTTGCAAATTTCGTAGTTCTGTGTTTTAATTTCAATCTGAAGACAGTACTGAACAAAACTGTACAGGTTATTTTTTTCCTTTTGTTTTTGCTGTTTTGAAAAGGCCTTCACAATGGAAAGCTCTTTTCCAACTTCTCTTGGCAAGTAGACTGTTCTTCGTCATATCAATCAACTGCAGTCCTCATTCATTCGTATTCTCTCTCGTTGGTCTCTGTCATCTCCACCAGCACCTGTAGTTTAAAAGCCAGGCTAGGATATTATTTTATCAAGCTTCTCCATCTGTCTACTGTGATGCTATATCATGTTTAGTCTGGGTTGACCCTGATTGGCAGGATCAAAGAAGCCTGCCTCCAAAATTATCTAAACTATTGTGTCATTAGCGTATGCAAAATAATCAGTCAATCATTCCTTTTCTCTATGCTATGAGTTATCCATCACCAATAGTATCTTCATTCACATAGGTGGGGAATCCATTTTAAAAATTACTTATTTCTATACTTCAGGCAAACATTTATGTCATACACATATAAACTTTGTTCTTGAGAATTATTGTTGAATGTAGTATCTTAAAGGAGAGGTAGTGATCTTGAAAGTCTGAAAACAGAAAGGAAGAACTCAAGTTCAAATGCACCAAAAAAAAGCATGATAGTGTAATTAAGAACCTTAAACTTTGTCTTCCTTGGGATGATGTTCGCTGCTACCTTGAAAGAAACAATCGACAGAAAGTATAATTTTGTTATTAGGGTTTGATTATGTGGGGGTTTCTTTGTATACAAATGCAAGTAGAATGTATTTTCTGATGTTAATATTACATGGATGATGAATCAGACTGAGGTTGTTTCTGCGTTGAATTGGTTGAGTATATGAAATTTTCCTTGTTCTCCCTATCCCTCAAGTTGGTCCCTCTCTGTCTCTCTTTGTCTCTACTTGAATTTGTCTCTCCTTCTGTCTCTCTTTTTATTTCTCCCTCTCTTCCTCTTTCTCTTTCTTCTGAAAAAACGAAGGAAGGAGAAAGAATTTTAGTTTGGTAAAAGTTTTACAACACTCGCAATGACATTATGGAATTGCATGTGCAGTAAAACTTTTACAAAATTAAAAATCTTTTCCCCTTGCCGCCTTTCTTTCCCTCCCTCCCTCCGTCCCACACAAAGAATCACACATCCTGTTATCCCACTTGTCCCACCACCAGGATACCTGTGGGAAGACGAAGCCCCATTCCGCTACTCACACTGGAATCCTGGCGAGCCAAATGACAACGGAGGAAAGTGAGTACTGCAGTTTTTACTCAATAAAAACACTGAGTTAAGACCAGCTCTTCCTAGCCTTTCACATGATTACTGTACAGCATCATGAACATTATGAAATGCTAGATCTGAAGCAGACATTTCCAACCATGGTTCTCATATTATTTTCTCTTCTCTGATGCTCTTAAGGCATTTATATTTTGCTGGAAAAGTCATCTTTCTGTTCAAGTTCTCTTAGTACATGTAGGTTGTTCTTGAACTGCCCTTTCCTCATATACCTTATGTGTTTCCAGTGAGTGCGATATGTTCAATGCTTTTATATCAGTTCAAGTGTCTCACAAACTGAATTTGTCTTTTCCTCATCGTTTTATCAGTGCATGGTCCACATGCCCCACAGTGTCGCACAAAACATTTGAAAAATTAAATAAAGGGTACTCTGACTACCGGTCAAGTCACTTCTCTATCTCTGAGGGCTGGGATGTCTACACACTGCCAGACTACATTGTTAAGAGATCAGACAGGCTTAATTTGGAATAAGGAGTTAGAAAAATGCAGACGAGGTTGAAAAAGTATGATGAGAAATCTTAATGGCACAATATTTTAGTTGTTCAAGTTAATAAATTGCAAATAAAATTTCACTTTTATTGATAAATGAAGGAAATTTGATTTGTTAGTTGCATACCTGTGTATGCTAATTGATCTATATGAATACATTTGAGCAAAAGTTCACCAGTGGCACTCAGCACACAACACCACATGAGTACAGACAATCTACATAATGTTACTCCTCCCCCACTACCTGCTACCAACATAAACATGTATCGCTATGTCCCTTTGACCTTTCTCTAGAGAGGACTGTGTCACCTGGAACACGACGAAGAACACCTGGAATGATGAGACGTGCTACGTGGCCCACAACTTCATCTGTGAGATCCCTAGAGGTCGGTCAGTCAGAGCTTCAGACCTTTTGTCTACCAAGTTTCTTCTTCTAGGACTTTACCATTTACAGTTCGGTTGATAAATGGTATCATTCTATGGTGTGGATGACCCTGGTTTTAATACCCAATAAATCTCTCTTGAACTTAAAATATTTTAGAGTTGGCTTGGTCTTATCAAAGGGGGACTTTAAGTTTGGGGTTCTTCCTCTTAGAGATATCTTTACTCTGCTGATAGTGATCTCATTATTTTCTATAAGTTTGATGATGGCTTTGTAACACTTTTTTTACTTTACTCTATTGCTCTATTGTTTGATTTTCCTGCTGCTTTCTTGTAGTGGGATATGGGGAGATGGTGTTATATTGATGTGCTGCTCTGTGTAACTCAAAATAAGATACATTAGACTGAATATATAAATTTTGCTTCAAACGTTTATTTACAGTAAATTGAAGAAAAATGGTCCCAATGAGTCAGGGTGACGATGGTCTCACATCCCTTGTATTCTCATTTCAGGAGCTGTGGTCACAACACCAAAGCCTGTGCCGACTGGAAAATCAAGTAAGTCTCTCGTCAAATTATTGCTCAGAGTTTATTCTTACTGTGACGGCTGCATATGGCCTCGCATTATAAAAAGATTAACACTTGAAACAAAGACAAAACACAGCCTCTCTCTTACCTACCTGCCGGTGAACTGATTTTATTGGTATTTAGTTTACGCTGAAGTCTCGTGTGAATTTCAAAATGAGACAAAAAGTGACGTATCGAGAAGGGGAAATAATTGTGATATTAAAGAATCATTATTTCAACATTCGCGAAATAATTCCTTCCCATTTTTACATTTCATACATTAGACATACATTACAATTACCATCTTGTTCATCATTAACATTATCATCTTCTTCCTCTGCTTACTATTTTCCCTCTTCTTTGTCAATTTATTTCTCCTTTTCTGAGGCATTATCAGCGTCAATAGCAAGCATAGTTTTCAATGTGAGAGATAAAGATGTAACATCACCATTATCATATAAGGATTGTTAGCATAGAAATCTGCAGCAACGTTCATACCTACAACACCTTCTTTAAAACTCTTATAGGCCGTAACGACACACACTGTGTTGTTTCCGCCAACCGCCATCAGCCGGGACGACACATACTGTGTTGTTTTTATTTCCTTATTCAAAGACAAATATATATGAAACCGATACTAGTTTTCTCCGATGAGTTTAGCGTGGGTTAAAGGTCACATCAACTGTTTGTAAAGAAATAGCGGGGCTTTTCAATTCTTTACAGTGCGTTGATGCAAGTTTTGAGCTTTGTTTTGCGTTGGAGTTCGTGTGTCGTTTCTGAAATTTTCACTATGCTGAAGAATAAGCCTTCTGCGTCGTCAGGTAAACGCTTGGTAAGGCACACTTCTGAGAAAGCCAGTGAATCACTGAGAGAACTTATCGATAATACAGATTTAGGAGTAGAAAGTGGTGAATCTGACTTTGTCACGGAAAGAAGTTTTTGGTTTTTTTCATTTTTCTCTTTTTTGATGTCGTAATGTTATGTAACTCTTCAAAACTAACATTTTCCTTTGAATTTCAATATTTTAATACTAATCTTATTCTACGTTCAATGCCCTTTACAATGATGTATAATATAGTGTACATTACTAACAGAGAAACACACTAAAAACACAAGAGAAAGTAACATATGTGATTTCCCTTGGTCAGCCATGATTTAATTCCGGTGAATCCAGGGTAAATAATGCCGGTCTATAAGAGTTTAAATAATGCAAGCTTCTCTTCCCTCTCTTTTCCTGTTTACCAGCATCTGTAGAGTAAGGGTTAGATACTTTATTGTCACATACAGAAGGCATGATTATGCTTCCCAAGTAGAGAGTTCTTTTATCAAGTATATCAATTCATCTGCTAGGACATTTTTTTTAAACTTTGTCTTGGTGTGGGTTACCTGTGACACATAGGGTTGAAACGCCTGTCCCCTAAATAATGCAAGTTATGTTGATGAGGACGTTGAACATAGATCTATATTGGTCATCGTGGTGAAATCAGTCACTCATCAAAATAATGAAATTGAAGAAACCGATATTTTTGCTCAAATTTGGCAATTTTTGTTGAATTTATTTTTTGTCTCAACACCGTTTATGTCCATATTAAAAACACAATTCCATGTGAATTTATCTGAAAAATGTTGATTAAAGACACAAAATAGTAAATTTTCAGTTTTCAAGGATTTTCAAACTATTGAAGTTGCCAAACTTTGGTGGCCGTTTTTTCACTAATTTCACGCCTCTTTCAATCGCAAATATCTCGCACAGTATTCAAGATAGATGAGTATTTTTTCCACCAAAAGGCAAACGAACAAGCTTTCAGACGATACCAATAACTCCACATGCCCAAAAATTTATGAGCACCTGATTCCACCATGTCGTAACACATATGCAACTAAAATGACTACTTTTCCTGTTGTTCCCAGCTCTGCAATGTGGCAACACCTCCTGGTCTGAGTACAACAAATTCTGCTACTACATAAGTCCGTCAGACGGAGACAATGTCACAAAGACCTGGTTTCAGGCGCGCCTCACTTGTATGGACTTGGGCGGTGATCTCATCAGCATTGGCTCTGATGATGAGAATGCTTTCATTACTTCTCTTGTGAGTGGAATGATATGAAGTAGGGGAGTGCGATCTGTTCAGGCTGGAGAAGGCCCATGCAGTTTTGTACGACTTATACTTTATCTACTTGAGAAAAAAATTTTTTTATGTATTTATTTATTTATATATTTGTATATTTGTTTGTTTGCTTGTTTATTTATTTGTTTGTTTGTTTATTTATTTATTTATTTATTTATTTATTTATTTATTTATTTATTTATTTATTTATTTATTTATTTGTTTATCTATTTATTTTCTCTTTTTTAAATTCTCAGTTGTTGATTTTGGCAAACTCCACTTGGTCATTGTGAATGGGGTCAGCTGCCGGTCACTCTACCTGCGCTCAAACTTCCTGTGAGGTTACATGTCATGACAATTTTACAGTTCTGTTTCAACGTTTGCAAATTATAACAGAGCTATCAACAGGCACAAAGCATTCTGTCTGTGAGGTTCTACTTTCAATAATTAGTTTGTGGAAACACAATGAAGATATGTGGAATAGTTTTTTAACTGCATGTGAGGAAAGACAGCCGTCTTAGCTGTGGTAATTAAGATCACATACATCCTATTCAAAGTTATGTAACAAAAAATGTACGAGATGAAATTCAATAAAATTTCTTTACAAAAAAAGACAAGACATGTGAGCTTCTACATGTTTATTCTTTATCTCTGGCAAGTCGCTCCCAGCGGCTCGTGGTCGGAGCCCCTGTCCGAGTGAGCCGCTGTCATCAGGCGCATTCCTTTACATTCACTTTGGCATCAAATTACTTTTCGGCAATTGCCAAAAACAGGTCTGTTTTACCGGGAGTTCATTCAGTAGATGAAAAACTATCAAAATTAGTTCCTTTGTTTTGATTGAATGACCCATTTAATGACGTTTTGGTCAGTTTTAGATTTGATACTAAAAAAGGGCCCCGGCGTAGTGGGTTTACCCCCCGTGGAGTTAAATAGTTAAAGAACATAATTAGAGATGGACTAGTAAACCATTAGTTTTATTTATCACTTGTGAGTTTTTATTAAATGGTCAAATTCTAAGGAGTTGTGATGAAATTCTGATTAAAGAATATGTTTTATATAGGCCTATAATACAAGCCTGGAACAGTAGAGTAAAATCAGCTGATTTATGGGGCCATGGATGTTGGCTCAGCACATACATCCTCAATACACAGTGACTGTGCTGTCTGGAGCAGATGTGTGCTCATTATCCCACATAGTTTCTACTTACTGTCTACAATGCCTTGGGCTTGTTTTTCAATTTTTTGTTTCAATTGACTGATGACAAACTGACACCGTGATGGGCAAAGATGGCAATCTTTTGTTGTATTTTGACTGTTGAATGTACACCATTTCTGTTGTCTGTGTCTGACTAAATATTGCATTTCTTAAGTGTGAATGGGGAGGTCTTGTTCTTACTGTCACAAATCCTCAGGGAATATTTGTGGCATATAACCTCAAATGTTTGTCATCTGTGTCTTCTCTAATGTCAATTTCATATATGAGTAAACTGACTCTTTGAATGGTTGTTTCTTCCTAGCCTTTCATTTCAGCTGCTTTTGTACGTTAATCACATTCTTACACCCAAAAATTTAACAAAGTTCATAAAATTTAAGGATGAGGTGTGTCTCTTATGTATGGATTCCATTTGGAGGTTTCAATTGATCTCACATGTGTTACAGGAAAACATGAAAACATGTTAATTCTTTGTCAAATCTATTCTTATCTATAAAAAGGAATATACTAGCAAATCCCCCTTCAGTTTCAACTTGGGAACACCATATAATGGTCTAGGCTGTGTTTTGATAGATTGTAGAGGCATAAAATTGGCATTCACAACACATTTCCCTCTTTGTGACTCATCTCCCTCTTTGTGCAGGTCAGCAGACACCCTCTTGGCGGCTTCTGGACCGGCCTCAATGATCTTGATCAGGACTCTTTCAAGTGAGTGTGAATTGTTGTCTTGTTTGGAGGTTTGAAGGTTTCATTGGTATATTCATAATCTAAAGGTGAGAAAACATCTTACACAGGTGATACTCAGAGTTTTCAGTTGGCATCATGATGGATAATGTTGCAGATGTCGTGGTGCAAATCTTCAATGAGCTTGGGTTGTTCAGAGATTTTTCAATGTGCTCCATTTGTCTGGTTCAGTCTTAGCAAAGATGGAGATTATATATTTGAAAGTCCAGCTTGTTATACAAGGGTACAGCGATGATAGGAGCATTAAATCCACATTATATTATAGCACTTTGGACACTTCTTCACTTCGATATCGCACAAATCCAAACCAGCGTCTATGGTGCAGTGGTTAGACACTTCAAAGTCAAAAGCAAAAAAAGGAGAGTTTGATTCTTATGTGGGGAGATTTTGTCTTTATTGAGTAGGCCTACCACTGTCTGCCTCTAGGGATGTATCTCTTGGCCCCGTTTGACCCTGACAGACAGGGTCAAATCAGCCCTCCTATTAAATTATCTAAAGTTTGTGAATGGGAACAGAAAACATTAACGCTTACAATTTTTACAAATCGAGTGATAGTGTTTGCCAGTGGTTTCATCAACAATAAAAAAGGCATGTCATCGAGAAAATGTACTGGTACCACATTTTTCCTGTCAGAACAATGGAACTGGAGATAACCTCCTAAGTATACCGGCTTCGCAGATTCACAAGCAGGGTCATTGCAGCCAGTCTACTGAAAGATATATATTGTGTCAATGGCTTCTTCAAACATTTAGACTAATAATGACTTCAAATGTTTTGCTTAAGTCCTGGTCATTTTCATTATCATCATCACCATTGTGACCATTGCCACCATCACAACCACAACTTTTCAACAACAACAACAACAAAAAATAAAAACGAAAAACCATAATCTCTGACCACAGATGGACAGATGGGTCACCTTTATCATTTGTGAGTTGGGGAAACAATGAGCCAAACGACGCCTACGGCAGTGAAAGATGTGTCGAGATCCGCTCTGGATGTGAGTACTCAACCCTCCTCATAGGTTGGAAAATCGTTAACAGAAATTGATTGAACACATAACAAATCTTAAAAATGGAAATCATTTTATTTGAAAGTGTTAACCCTTATGACCCTGGAGTCCCAAGGACTCCTACATTGAGGTTTCCCTTAATTGACCGCTAGATTTACACCACAACATGCATGCTGAGGTGTGCATTTGGTGGTCAGAAGGGTAAAGGCACTTGTATCAATAGGGTTAGAGGAAAAAACGACATGGAGTTCAAATCAGATCTTTCCCTCATTTTGTTTCTTTTAAGTGTTGTGTGCTTTTGATTCTCAGTCCCACTGAGTGCTGTTTATTATGCAGCTCAAGTAGGAAAGATGTTTTTGAAAATGAACAGAAAAAAACATGTGGCTCCTATCGGAGAGGAAAAATACTAAAATTTCCAAACACAGTTTTCCTTTTGCAAAACATTATTACCCCAAAAAAGTAGTTTACCTCAAGCCTGTGAGAATAATCATACACTTTTTACTTGCCACTCTTTCCATCTTTAAGTGCTATTTCCTCACTGCTCTCTTAGCGGTAAGTCACTTTCACTGTCGCTGGGTTTGCTACCGTCATTTGTCTGTGGTAGTGTTTTGTTGATGGAGTAAATACACCTTTTATCCTTATTGTGTCTTTTGATTTGAATATTACCATTGTCTTCTAACCACTTCATTCTCTCCTCTTCTTTCAATTTTTCATTCTGAGCCAGAATGAAGCAAATAGTAGGATCATACCTGAAGGAGGAAAAGTAGAAGAAGAAAAAAGAGATGACGATGAAAATTGTAATGATGATAATAATATTTATAAAAATAGATTGGATGTATATATCGCCTATCCCTTCTTTTAAAAATTCTATTTATCATAGTCATAACAGACATTACAACATTTAGAAACATTTTGTTTCCAAAAAAAGCCCTGTACAAGTTGTCATTTTATGTTTGAAAATATCACACACGACCTCCAAAATTGTTCATCTTTATACGAGAAGACCAGGTGCTCAGTCCTACGTACCCTAGAATCAGGGGGTGTAGAAAACACTAGGGGAACAACAAAAAAACGATGCTGGCTGCAGGTTAACTTCAAACTTCTGGGTTTACCGTTAAACAGCACATCTATTGATAATAATAATGATAATGATAATTGCATCTCTACAGCATGCTCTATGCGCTTTACAACTATGAGTAGGCTTACCCCAGCAGACCCTCTGAGAACACTCAGAAACATTCTCGGCTTCCCAGGAAGCATATAGCTGCAAATTCCACATACTCAAACACTAACAAATTAACAAGATCTTTTACTCTCGGTAGCTGGGTACCAATTTCCACCTGGGTGAAGTATGGAAACTTTATGTAAAGTGGCATTCCCAAGGGATTTGAACTTTCAGCATTATGGTTGCGATTCCAAAAGTATAACCAGCAGGCCACTGTGGCAATAACTACTGACCCCTCCCCCACCAGTTGGGTTTCCATTGTAACCAATCTCACTTGGATGGAGTGAGGTGTCTTTCCTACAGATATTATGTTAGGGTCTGACTTTTTTTCAAACCCATACGCACCTTAATGGATGAGAATCGTGACAACCCAGCCACGAGACTGCTACCCACACTCATTACGTTGTTCTCTAACTCCAGCATTTTGGAATGACCAACACTGTCAAGACATGCGAGGTTACGTGTGTAAGAAAAGACCTGGTGACTACACCACTCCCCCCAGGACCACAGCATCTACCAAGGGAGGATGTCCAGCCGGGTTCCATTCTCTGCCTTCTTGTGAGTTTACAACTGTTTACTGTTTGTTTATTTATTTGTTTGTTTGTTTGTGTGTTTGTCAGGTTAAGTACATGTCTGGAGACCAAAATGTAGCCTCGTCTGTTAATCATCTTCCCTTTTCTGTCAACTTGTCACCTCAAATGTTTTCTCACACCTGTCAAAATGTCTTAACAATAGGGCTGGGTAGGTACAGGTACCTGGGGCTAGAACTTCAGTATCAGTACTATTGTAAGTGGTCTCATAACTGATATCAGGCCTTGGGTATTTGTACTGTGAAGGTACCAGCACCAGACCATTTTGACCAGCTCTGGCTAGGTGCGTACATTCAGTATTTTATACAGCAGATTATGTGTCCTTGGAAATAAACTGGTGGGCAGGTGATATGCAAATGCAAACCCTCACACTCACACACACACATAGTCACACACACACACACACACACACACACACACATACATTCACACACACACACACACACACATGCACACACACACACACACACACACACTTGCGCTAACCACCTATAATAGTAATAGATTCTTGTTGCCAAAACTTGCCTGGCGTCGGCCACCTTTCTGAGGTACAGTGTACCGAAATATCAAACGAAAGTACATTATTCGCCGCAAAAGAAAACAACCCTCCACCCCCACAAAAAAAAATCATTATCAGGGGAAAAGAACTCCTAATAATAAAAACATTCATGAAGAGAAGACAAGACAAAATTTAAATTATATTTAGAAGCAAACATATAAAGATGAATATCAATATACACAAAAAACAACCAAAATGGGCTCTCTCTCTCTCTCTCTC